GAGAGCACATTAGAAATGTTGACACCCAGGAGATAATCCAAATTGTCTGGAGTTCTGCTGATGTCAGTGAGAATTTACATGCACCCCAAGCACGCTGGGGTCCATCCAGGTGCACCTCCCAAAGACAGAGGAGCTCACTGTACATGACTGTGCCTTCATACTTGAACAGAGCCAGGCTTTGGGAAGCTGGCACCTTCCCCTGTGCAACATCTTCTCTAAGGCACGCCTTGCATCGTAATCAGCACCATAAACACTCCCTAAATTATCTCTACCTCAGCCACAATGAAATCAACTCAGCATTGAGAACTTTTATTTCTAAGTAAAGTGGAAGTTTTGCCTGGTAATGGATAAAATTGTAGTTTAACTGGTCCTAAAGGTGGCTGGCATGTGGTAAAAAGGCCATGTTCTCTGGTTCCTACTGTATTAAATGCATCCTCTAGCTGAAAGAAAACAGTGATTATCAGAAAGTCAATTGTCATTCTGCCTCTTTAGAAAAATTCCCATTAAAGATAAAGCCAATTTTAATTAGATTAAGTATCCAATTACTGTAATTACATTTTTAAAAAATTCACATCATGAGGATGACCCTTTTAAAAAGGGTTACAAGAATAATTAGTGTATTCATATTAACCAAAATGTATTGGATAATATTTATACCCAGAAGGCAAAGTACATTACACATATTTCACCTTTGGGGAAAGCTTGCAAATGTTTTGGCAGTGGTATGAATATTTATAGGGAAGAGCGTGCTTTAGCAAGATTATATGAGAAAGCATTTATATGCTCACAATTTTTTACCCAAGGGTAAAGTATACATAAAATGTAGTGCAGAGATTATGGATATGCAAAGTGAGATTTAAGCGCGGAATTCATATCAGTTTGTTTAATTAATTGGAGCAGAATACTACTCCCTTTTTTTTCTTTTTTTTTTTTTTTCTTTTTTTTTTTTTGATGGCTGATCGGCCACAAAATTCATCAGAGCTTTCTTTCTTTCTGCTGATCAATAACACCAGCAAAGGTGCCAGGAAAGGGTGTTCCCTCTGCAAGGCATCACCTTGTCCATGGGCTAAACCTTTTCTGTGTTCCTGATCACGCTGCACAAGCAATCCCATCTGCTGCTGGGTGCTACCTGAACAACTCACCGCGGAGCTGCCAGTCAACACTGCTCCTTTAGGGGCAAATCCTCCAGCCCTCAGCGAGGGGAAGGCTTGAAGAGACACCAAATAGGTTTGCTCACGCACAGAAGACAAGAAACCACATCCTGGTTGCAGGCTGCCCCCGGAGGGCACGGAGGATGTGACCCATTTTTGCTGCTGTGCCAGCTCTTGTGCTGTGCACAAAGTTCCTGCTGCAGACCACTGAGACCTTCCCAGAGAGCTCTACAGCCCAGCCAGCGATTTTTGCCTGCTCTGCAGCTAATCAACAGCTTTGGGAATTGCCAAGGAATTACATTCTTCCCCAGAAAACAAGCTCTCGAGCTCCTGACTGGTGTTAGCATTTGCCTACTACCGCAGCGTTTGGCTCTTGACTGCTGAGATACTCTGCAGTGAGAATGCTTGCAGCGTGCACATAGGCACCTCCCTAACTGAGGTGAGGAGCTGTGGTAGCACAGCTTTTGACAAAACCTAGAGAAATGAGGAAGCTCTCGTGTCATTTGTTAGCTTGATTAAGTTAAGAAATTTCTTCCTGATTTACATTTATACCGGAGGTTGTTCATTTTTATAGCAATTTGTACGTGGCCAGTCAAGAATGAGCAGACCAAAAAAAAAAAAAAAAAAGATAAAAAGACAGGTTTTAAATGATTCATTCAAGTTCTTTCACATTAATTTTCTCTTCACTGAATTATCAGCAATCATTCTTGAGCATTCATGCCTTTCATGTTTTTCAGAACAGTTGAATATTGCTTTACATAATCCAAAATTTGGTAGTCCTGTGACTCGTGTAGATCCTTACCTACACATCTGGAAAATGTTCTGCCTTCTGAAGATGACCCTTCCTCTACAAAAGGTAAAATGTAAAATAAGTTACAAATACTTGTGCAAAGGCATGGATGCTTTATTGCTGATATTGCCAGCGAGGATAGCAGCATGAATGTTTACAATTTCCACAACTCCCACTCTCATTTGCTGGGTTTTGAGCTGTCTTGCAAAATAAAATAGCCCAAGAACATACTTAAGGAAAAAGCATAAAAACAAGGAAAAAACCCCACCTCTGATTTGTATTGGTTAAGCTGCCTCTAAAGCTTTGTCCCATAATAAGGAGAAACTGGAGAAGTCAGTAAGCGTGTCATAGCAGAGACACGGGCAGGTGGGAAAACAGGAGGGTTAAATAAATAGGAATGAAATGAAATTACTTTTTAACATTCCTGTCCAGAAGTTCAAAACAATTTTTTGGAAATTTCTGTTGGTACCTGCTGAATACCAGTTTTACTGGTTGAAGGGTATTTTGCTATATAAGTGTTGTTTCAGAATATTATAAACTGCTAGACAACAACAATGTATTTTTCATGATGGAATGAGGGAATTGTTTGTTGTTAGTGAACTGATGGCACATTTCTGATCGAGGCAACGCTCCTTTTGATGCCCTCACTTGTTAACTTGGCCTCTGGAGGCATCAAGAGTTGCCGACAAGTTTAGGAAAGAGGCACAGACACCAAAACAACAGCTCCCACAATTCCCATTTCCAGGAACAGTGCAGGGAGTCCCAGAAATCCTGCTGTGAGAAGCCTGAAAGCTGGTGAGTGATGGGTGAAGGAGCTGTGGAAGGAGACATTCCAGCCAGGCTGGTTTGTAAGGGCTGGCGGGGTCTGACCGAGGACTGCTGTCTTCCCAGGGTGAAGGTGCTCACTAAGGATTTCTGGAATTGTCCATCCAGTTCCAGCTGTTCAGACAGTGAATATCTCTTTTGAAGTAATTTAAGAGCCTGTGGTATTCTGCTGCCATAGTGGTCTGCAGCGTTAGTGAAAGCAATTCTGCTCTCAGCTCAAGTCTAATTAAGGGTAGCTCTTGCGTAAAGTGAGTTAAATTCAGTAGTCACAGCCCAGACCCCATGGAAAATAGTCTAATTCAACTGCAGTAATACAGTGTAATATAAATATAATGGAAATACAAAACCATATAATTTAATTTGACATGACTGACAGTTTTTTTGCTTAAGTCGGTGAAAATGAACAAGTACAAACACTGAACTTCCCTCTTGGATCCTTTATTGTTAGTGCAAGTGGGAGCTGGTTTCAGGATGACTTTGCACAGCAGCACCCTAAACAAATGGACTGACAAGAGGTATATTTCACACCCTCTTTTCAACATATATGCACATTTTTAATTTTTGTTGTTTAAGATAGTTGAAGTAAATTGAATTAAGCTTAAATATGGTCTGAACTTTTCTACATCTGTCCCATATGCACAAAGGAAGGACACAAATGTGCAAGGAGAATCCAGGTTAGCCATGGCCTCAAGCAGTGCTTTTATCCAAACTGCCTTCTTGCCCTTGCAGCCTGGCTGCCCTAACTCCAGCGGTCCTGCCACAGGAAATGTCCTGGCCCCTTCTCAGACCAGGGAGAACGGGAACCACGCTCCCATGGATGCTCCAAGCCTTGCACACCCTGTGCCCACCTACCCCGTCACTGCCATCACTGCCTCCAGCAGAGACCAGCCCAGACACTGCAGAGCAGTGAAAAACAGGGCACAGTGGAGTTGGGGTTTTTCCCCCCAGGAAGTTCCAAGTGCTACAAGCAAGCAAGGACCAGAGCCTGGGAAACAGTTATGGGAAATAAGGAAGAATCACAGAGTGGTCTCAGTTGGAAGAGATCTTGAAGACCATGATGCTATAAACACCCTGGGGGAAAAAAACCCAACAAAACTGTTGCTGACTCCATTCTGGACCCCTCCCGGAATCCGGGCCGGGTTTTCCCTTTTGCTGAGTCCATTCCAGTCCCCGGGCACAACCCGATCCGGGTTTTCCAATTTGCCAACTCCATTCCAGAGTCTGGCCGGAATCTGGACTCCAGCTGGAATCTGGTCCAAGTTTTCCAATTTGCCGACTCCATTCTGGACTCCGGTGGGAATCCTGTCCAGGTGTTCTAATTTGCCGACTCCATCCCGGACTCCAGTCGGAATCCGGTCTGGGTTTTCCTTTTTGCTGACTCCAGTCCGGACCCTGGCTAAACCCGGGGTTTCTTGAGGTCAGTTGGGGTTTCTTGAGGTCATTTTAATTCCTTCTGGGGTTACTTGAGAGCATTTGTTCCGAGGAAAACGCACAAACACCAGAGGTTTTTGTCCTAAAATGGGAGACTGAGTCGTCCTTCAGCTTTATTCGAATAAAGGGACAGAATCCACTGGGGCACATCCGCAGGGCTTTCCTCTCCATTTTGGAAGGATCATCTCCTTTTATCCTAATTCCTGGCTGCATCTTCCCCTCTTCCTTTTCCCACTGGCTGAGGTACACAGCCTTCCCGAACCGCCTACACCGCCTACCACAAATCCCCCCTTGAACGTACTGCATTACCACAAAGTTTTGAAGTAGAGGCTGCGTACGTCGGGTCTGCACTCTGCAACAAACCCGCGGCCCAATGACAGTAGAGACATTAACACCCACATCTTCACCCATCAATTTGTTTTTAAAGACATCAGCGCACATCTTTCATATCTAATCTAAGTCTGCTCTCTTTCAGTTTGAAGCCTGGAACCTGTCACTGCATGTAAAAGACCCCTCTCCGTCCTTCCTGCAGGCTCCCTTCAGGCACTGGGAGGAGATGAAGGGAGCCCCGTGTCCCCTCCGCCGCTGTCCGAGGCTCAGGGCTGTCCCTCGAGGCCGCAGCCCAGCCCATTCCCTGCCATCCCCACACGTTTCCAGGGTCGCACCCCAGCCCACTCCCTGCCATTCCCACATGTCTCCAGGCCCGCACCATTCCCTGCCATCCCCACACGTTTCCAGCGCCTCCTCCTGCGCCCCCCCCCCGGCGCTCCCCTCGGGCTGCCTCGCGGCGCCTGCGCGCGCCTGCGCCGCGCTCCGCCATGGCGGCCTGGACGTGCTGCCGGGTGGCCGCCGTGTCCTGCCTGGTGCTCTGCGTCTCCCTGCTCCTGCCGCGCACCTTCCTGCCCCGGGCCGGCGGCAGGCAGGAGCCCGGCGCCGCGCCGCCCGAGGGTAAGAGGCCGCTGCTCGCCGCCGCCCCTCCTTGTCCCCCCCCGCCCGGGACGCCGCGGTCCCGCTCGGGATGAGCCCGGGGCGGGCGGGCTGTGGGGGCTCCGTGAGGGGCCGGGGCTGCTCGCAGGGAGCTCCGCCGCCCGGTATGGAAACGTAGCGTGGTTCCCTCCTGGCACGTCTCTGCCCCGTGCTCATCCCTTAGCGACGCGTGGAGTGCCGGAGGATTCATTCGTGGTTGCCGCTGTGATCTACTTGCTTCTTTTTTTAAGTAGTTTACAAGCTTCAAAATATCGTTTTATTTATGTGCGGGTTATTAAAGCTTCCCGAAAAGTGACATATTCATTCCACTTTTTTTCGGGTTTTTTTTTTGTTTTGTTTTTTATTTTTTGTTTTGTTTTGTTTTGTTTGTTTGTTGTTGTTTTTTGTTTGTTTGATTGTTTGTTTTTTTTTTTTTATTGCAATACATCCCTTCATGATTTTGTTACTTTGTGTATGGAGTGCTTTTGTTGTTGCATAAGAAATAAAAATTCATTTGAGTCGTCTTCATTGTTCAGTTTCCTACGCCAGCGTTTTAACCTTTTGTTTTCGTGCACCAGATTCTCATGATGCTGCGGGCACACGATGGCTTACTTTAGGCTCACACCGCATCCTGTCCATGTGGCCCCCCAAGCTGTGTCCCCCGTGCCTGCCCTCCCACTCCGCATGTCCTCTCTTCAAGTTCTCAAGGAGTGGGTTCGTACAAGCGTCTCCCATCCTTTTTATGCCCATTGCCTTGTACTGTAGAGGTTATTTTTTGCCCAAGGCACTTCACAGAGAAGTTGGTACCATAACCCCTCGCCTTGGCAGAGAGGGAGTTTTGCCCAGGGCTGCCCGCAGGCCAGAGGTGAGGCTGGTGGGAGCACAGAGAAGTTACAGTCCTTCAGGGTGCTGTCCCACAGGGACTCATGTTCACTGTCTGTCTTCTGCATCCTTCCAACAGCCTGGTTCTTCATGCCTGCACTCTTCAGTGACGTGGATTTCATTTAGTATTCTGTTTCAGGGTTTTCTGAGGACCTCCAGGCTGAAGTTACTGCTAAAACAGTGTTACCTTGAAGCCAAATACAGGATTTCCATGCCACAGCAGCACTTGCCTGGTTACCATGTGTATTTTTGGTTTTTGAGAACTTGAGAGTAGGGTGGTCAGCACTGTAGATCTGCAGGTGTGTAGCTCCATTGCAGGATCTCACACTGAAATAAAGGCCCAGCAGGCAGCACAGGTGAGGGCTGTGGAGTCACCTGCCTGCAGCAGGGATGGGAGCAGATGCTCTGGGAGGTGGTACCTGGCTCCCCATTAACTTCTGCCAATGCCCAGCTCCCGACTGATCCCACAGCGGTACCGGATGATGGAATTTGACACACCGTTTCCCCGCAGCAATGCAGTCTTAAGCAGTTGTCAGTTAATGCTCTGGTGCTCCTTCCTTTGGCTGCAGGTTGATCTGACAGAAAATAGCTTTAAAAATCCCAACAACAAACTTGTTCTCCAATTATTTTCAGTGCCCCCCAATTATTTTCAGTGCCATCTGTCGAATGAAGATGTTTGTACCTGTTCTAGCACAGCTGGCTCTGAGCAGTGCTGTGATAGGGTGGCTTAATCACCTGCAGCTGCAGCTGAATGCTTAAAATAGGTAACATAAATACTCTCTACGTCCTCAATATTGTAAATACTTGCCATCATTCCTGCAGAGATCACAGGACAGCACAGGTTTCTGTGTTCCTGATGCAGCACAGGCACCCAGAGTTGCTCCCCTGTTGTCCCCCAGCGCCTGCCTTTGGCTGAGGGTGTAATAATTCACCTCAGCTGGCTGGTTTCAGATGAGAGTTTGTAGCCTGTGTTTTCAACTTGATAGCAAGGATTTCATTACACCTGCTCTGTAGACCAAATTGTATTTCACCTGAAGTTATTTTTTTTTATTGGAAGAATAAATCTTGATTGAACCACTTAATTCATATCTCTGTCGTTAGTTGTCCTTCTCAGTGCACTGATAACTGCAGTTACCTGGCAGGAGTTTCAGGGGCCTTTAGGTAATCATGTCATTCTTGAAGTTAATAAAGTGCTTATGGTAGTCTTGGGGGCAAAATGTCTCTGAATAAAACATGCTTAAAATTTAGTACCGTTTGTTAGAACTCAATGTTACCAGAAGGCTTTTTATCAAAACAGGTTTTAGGCATGGGAATGGAACTTTCTCTAATAAAGTAATTTTCAGAGGTCTCTTTTGGGAAAATGGTGTGCATTGAACTATAGAAGTTAGTATTATCTTCCAGACAGGAATGTTGTTCTTTTTCACAGTAATAATTTCATGTATATGACAAAGCTTACTTGAAGAACTTACTGTGTTTGTATCACATTCCTAGTCAACTTCATACGCAGGCATTAGAATGTTTATCTTTTCTTAAAGAGGAGCAAAAGGGGGACCCACTGGCAGTTTTAAAAGTACCTTTTAAGTCTAGTGTTCATAAATATATGCCATGCATTTTGTAAAGCCACTTTCTAAGTTGGTAGTTTCAGATAAACCTTACAACTCCATGACAACAGCAGACAGCAGCTTTACAAAAATATGTATATGACAGTTCAGGTAACCTTGCTCAACTTGAATTTGTGCAATGTACACATCAGTTGCCTGCTGGTGTCCTGAAGAAAATCATCTGGCAGAGACACATATTTACCTAGACTGAGAATTGCTGAATAGTACAGTAATATGTCTAAATAACTATAAATAGTTGAGTTGGGCTCAGTAGCAATTCCTAAAACCCATTAGGTAGAACACATAACAGCTTTCGTGGAAAAAAAGATGCTTGAGTGATCTGAGTATCATCATCTGGTTGGTTGTTGTATTCATTGTGTTGTAAATACAGTTTTTAAGCTTTTCTTCTTTTCAGTTGAGTGTTAATGTTGTTACAAGATTAAAAACCCCATAGTCATTCTCATGTGAAAATGCCATTGAGGACTTAATATACATTCAGAAAATACAGCCTTTTAAACAATGCGAATGTTTGCTGGGGCATAATTTCATTTTTGGACTTCAAGCTCCTGAAGGGACTGGGTTAAACACAACATGCTCTGCTTGCCCTGTAGCTGGTTTTCAAAGTTCATTTGAAGCATTAAAACTGACAACATTAATAAATGTGTAGGATAAATCCTAGGTAAAAAGATTGCAAAGCCAGGTAGGGTGTGCTTGGTGGGAGTTACCACACACGGCAATCAGCCCGCAGAAAGGCAGCCCTCGGGCTGTCACGGGGGAGCTGAGAAATATTTCAAAAGCTGAGCAGCCCTTTGGCACCTTTCAAAGCTAACCAGAGTTAGTGCTCTTCCCACAGCATTCCCACAACAGGAAAATGTCCTGTTGAAGTACACCCCATCCCCACTGGCAGCTGAGTAGGGTAGCAAACAAGGACCCAAGACATGCCCTTCTGTGCTCATCAAGTGTCACTTGATTTTCTTGATGTTATGTTATTGTTCCTGTATGCTGTTGCCTCCATTTGAAAGTGGTTTGTTTCATCCCTGGATGTGTGGAATCTTGTTTAGGTCACAGTGGCACCCAAATTGTTACATTTTCCATTTATATACTGTGCATTTAAGAGCCTTGTGCATATGTTGCTTTCAAGTTGCTTGTGCCCTCAATTTTCTGTGTAATTCACATGGGTTCTTCACAGCAAAAAACTATGGAAGATAGTATTTGTTTATTAAGGAAATAATTATAGAAGTGTAAAATCAATAGGGTAGGTTTATAAATAGGAGTCATGAAATTCCCCTTTAAAATTATCTTGGTTATTAAATTTCTAGTGTCTGTCCTCTTGGCCTGTTATATTTAATTGAATTGAATCTTTTAAAGCACAAACGAGGCCTTGTGGATAATTTAGAAAACTATTCGCTTTAAATACAGTTTCACCTTTGTCAATTATTTTCTGCTTTCTTGATATCTCTCTTTTTAAAAATTAAATAATATTTGCATAAATATACGATGTTTTATAAGTGTTTACCTACCCTGCTGCTTCATCCCCACCTTAGTGATGCTGCTCTCTGCACGACATCACACTCGTTTCCACAGTGACCTACTGCTGCAGGGCATTGTTGCTGGAGCAGGGGACTTTCTTGTAAATAAGATGCTATGCTTTCCATCACAGACTTTGAATAATTCACTAAAATTTAAGTGCATGATAACAGCTTCCTCAGAATTAAGCTAATCTGAGAGTGGCTTTGGTCAGTGGTAGTGTACCCTGGCAGTTACACTAAAGAACTCATGGAATGTGTGCTGTCATCTACAATAAAAATGTGTTTTTAATAGTGGAACTTCATGAATTATTGATACCACTTCCTAGTAAGTGTTTACTGCAATTTTCTGTGCTCAGGAATTTAGCTGCCTATGATGGTGTTTCCTAGCAAGACCAAATGTTAATTAAATTTTTCTCTTGTGTCTCATAAAAGCACTTGCAGCTGCATACTCGCAGAAGTCAGTTATTAGCAGCACCACTTCAAACCTGCTTTTCATTTTCTTTCTGCAAGCACAGGCAGCCTGTCCCAGCACCAGGCAGCAGCGTCCAGGCCATGTGTGCCAGGGAGGGGGAGTTTTCCAGCCGGGATCAGGGACTGAGCTGCAACCCAGCCTGGCAATCCCATCTCTGGTGCTTCCATCCAGCGCCTCCCACCACCAGATTCCCTGGCAGGGTAGCTGAGTAACTCGGCTCAACACCAGTCAGTGGAGGGGAGTGCAGGTTCACATCCAAGCTGGATATGAAGATGGAAAGGAAGATATCAACTACACAGAGGAGTAAAATAGTGAATTTCACAGCAAAACTGTTGAATTGATGGCAGCAAGAAAATAGAATAATGCATGAGCTTAAATTTATTGAGGTTCTTGCACCCTTCAGTTGTGTGTAATCATTTGCAACACCATTTCAGGCTCTCTGCAGTCTTACTCTGGCATCTGTACATCCATTTATGCTTGCTCTCCTTTCTTGTGTTAAATTAGCTCTGCCTAGAAAGGTTAGAAACCTCTAAATTTTTTTCCCTCTAAAATGCCAAAGATAATATGTCCCAGGCTATATTCAATCTCCTTTCTCACACTGCTTTACCTTAGACCTTTATAAGGAGTACAGCTTGAGGTAAAACCAATTTTCTTAATCTTTCATTACTCGCTTGGTAAAATCAGGTAAAATACTATTTCTTATGGCAATAACCAAAAATCTATGCTGGGCAAACACTGCAGTCGTGTGTCAGGATGTTAGGTGGATAATGGTTTGGACATTAATACATTTATACATTAAGTGCCTTTGGGCAGTATTGAAAGATCAGGCTCACAGTGGAAAACGGAGACGTTGTTGGGGGAACTTGAGGACAGAAAGAAGTAGGAATCTGGCATTTTATCCTGCTGGAGATGCTGATCTGTTGGGTATTCAGACAAGAATATACCTATTAAAATCCCTGGTGTTTTATTTGCCCTGCCAGCTCTTTCTCTGCTAAAAATCAGGAAATTTTAATTCTGTGATTCTACTCCTAATTGTGTAGGAGTAAAGTGGCTAGGAGTAAATGGCTTTAAGTAAAACCTAACTCCCAGCACTGCACATCACAAGAGACTGAGGACTGAGTTTACAGACTTAGTCCAACAAGTTACTTATTCATCAGTGGTGGTGAATTTACTAGCAGAGAAAATAGGTCACTTGCACCTGCTGCACGTTTGTGCTACGTGTAAAAGGGTGGAAAGCAATAGAAGGGAAATGACCATTGTGTGGTTTTTTGCAGGGAAGCTCAGTCGCTTTCCACCGAGGATGCATTCCCACGCCACTCCCGATGGCCGAGCTGTCCCTCATTTTCCAAGGTCTCACCTTACTGAAGCAGTTGCCAAGGCCAAGGCAGGTGGAGGTGGCAGTGGAAGCACTGGTGGAAGTGGAAGAGGTCTCGTGGGACAGATTATCCCTATATATGGATTTGGCATCTTCTTATATATTCTGTACATTTTGTTTAAGGTAAGATCAATATAAATTGAAAAGTCAGGGAAATAAACAACTTGGGAAAAAAAATTTATACTCTCATTTCAGTACCTTGTTCCATTTCAGCTGTGCTCAAAAAAATGCTTATGCTGGACCTTTGCCTGGTGGTCAAAAGATTGGAGTATCCTGTGGGTTTTGCTATTGCAAAGTCTGTAGCTAAGAATGCAGGGAAGGGTTTCTCTGATCCTGCATTGGCCTCTGACCTCTTAAAATTTCTTAAGTATTTTTTTTTTCCTCCTGGAAAATGTGCAGGTCTAGAGTAATGTTAGATAAATTTTGAATACACATGTAGTATTATTTTCCCTGTTTTATGTGGCTACAGTTACTCTGTATGTCACATGTTGTTATTTGTTCCAAGAGTCTGATAGGAATTTTCAGCTGGCAAAATCTTCCAGGCATATTTCATATATATTGGTTTTGCTGGTGGGTGTGCTTTTCTGTGGCTGCCTTCTGGCCTATTTCAGTTTTCTGTATTTTTTTTTCCATTGCCTCTGGGGCTTATCTATTACTATTGTTGTAACTCATAGAAAGGCCATGTTCTTGTCCTCATCAGCTGGCTTCCAAAGGAAGAACTACTCCTGCAGAGCGGAAATGCCCCCCTGCTACACCTGGGAACATGAAGAGGAAAATCAGTGAGTATGGCTCTGAGTTGTATCTGTGAAGCTGTTAACTCTGTAATGGTCCAACAGGAGTCTTTGAGTTCTGAGTGCACTGTAAAGCTGATGTTCCCTCCCACCCCACCCCCCACAAAAAAAAAAAAAAAAAACCAAACCCAAAACCAAGCCAGGATCTTCTGTGTTGGAATGAGCAAGAGTTCAAAAGAATTACTGCCCTGTCACTTTCTAATCTCATTCAGCCCGTGAGGCTGTGATATCAGCCTGATCCCAAGCCCCTCTGGAAGAAATGGCTTTTCATGAGGTTTGCTGAATTAACTGCACGGATTTGCTGAAAAACTGTGTCACTAATGATTAAAAATGGATAATAGGATGTCCAGCTATAATTGTTGTATAATCCCTAACAGTCTTGTAAGAGCATAGAAAGATACCATGAAAGCTAGTTTAATTTTTTTGAATTGGTGAATTCTTAGCCATCGTCAGGAACTTCCCTAATTCATCCTTTTTTTGCAATGCAGAGTTTTCATGCATGCAATAAAGAGAGCAAATAGTATTCTGAAATGTTAATTTGATTTTACCTAAACATTGGTGAGATAAATTCAAGTATTTGTAGGCACTTATTAGATAAATTAATAAGTTTATTAGTGAGGATTGGAAGAGTAGTTACCATTACATCATTTAAATGTGTTGTGTTTAGCGGGCTAAACTATAATAGGAAAGAAAAGTACTTAGGACGTTATAGAAAGTGGTAGCAGGAAGGTAATTCTCTTAACATAGCTGTAATTTTCTTGACATTAATGCACATATTAGGAATGCCTAATGTGCTCAGTGCTGTAGCCTGTGTCTCCAGTGCACTCGTGCTGCGTTGTGCCTGGCAATTTTGGGCATTATATTAGCAATGGTAATTACATATTTTTCTCTGATGCTTGGTGAGAGAAAGTAACTTTGTAGTAAGTTAACTTTGCCATCATTATATCCCAAAGAACTAATGGTGAAAATTATTCTACCTTTTCTTCTAGAGCTCTTCATTTATATTCCTAAAGCATCCATGGCAAGCTGTAGCAGAGCAGGGGACAGGTCACTGGATTAGGAACCTGAAGACTGAGTCACCACTTACATAGTGACTTGGAGGAAGTAACTTCCTTTCTCTTTGCCAATTCCCCTTCCTCTTCTTTTAAAGTCTCAGACATGCAAAATAATTACATCAGTGTTGCATTAAGTCATGGCAATCTGTGCAGGATAGAGGCCTTTGTAAAAGCAGGAGGTTACTTGATGGATTTCTCCATTCCTACTATGTTGAAGTTCCATTGTGCCTTTGTGCTGCTCCAGTGGGTGTAAATATTGGTAATGTTCTTCACCTTCTTAGGCCAGGAAGAGTAGGTAAAACTCTGAATTTTTTCATTTCCTCACAGGCAGTTTGGTTTGGTACAGCATTTGCTACCTGTGATAATGGGACAGGAATACATTTTCAAGGCTCCTACTGACAAACCTTGGGATTTTTTTTTGTTTTGTTTTACAGCTGACTATGAGCTCACTCAACTCCAGGAAAGACTGAGAGAGACAGAAGAAGCAATGGAAAAATTAATCAACAGAGTAGGACCTACGTATGACAGGTGTGTTTCAAATTAGAATATTTTAAGGAGAGGTTCCACTTTGATTGGAAATTCAACTTTCTTCCATTACCTATATTAAAATAGCATTTTTATTGCTACTTCAAATTATAGAAGTTCGGTTTTATACATCCCAATTCTTGTTCTGCATTTTTTCTCTTTTCAGTATCTATATATAAAATAAATATTTTTTCCAACTTCATTTCCTTAACTAGAAAAGAAATTATCCCTATTTCACCCCTTTGTACAGTGTGTTATTTGGAAGAAAATGACAGGTATATGTAAAAAGAAGATAAACCATCTCCATTTAAATTACATAAAACAGCCTGTTTTATGTGACCAAAATAATACCCTGAAATATTATTTTCCAGTTCTAGGGATTATTTTCCTAAATTGAACTGCTGTTATAATCTATGTAAATTCCAGTTAGAATAACCATAACATTTTTCTTTAAGGCAGAATTGTATAATAATCTGATTACATAACTTAGTTCCACTTTAAATTCATGCATTTGCTTCTAAATATAAAAGACAAAGGGTTGTAAAATCAGCATTCAAAATTTTATTATGTTTATTAATGTTTCCTACAAATCTGATGTCACCAGTCTGTGTTACAAAGAAACACTGGAAACAAGTCTATGTTTTTCATAAGTAAAAAGAACAGTTCAATAGTACACTGCTTAACTGCAGTGTGAAAAGTGAAATGCCATAAATATGAAGGTGAGGTTTCCAAAAAATGAGAGCTGTTCTGGTTGTAAATCATGTTAACTTTGTCTGGATCAGCCTGTTTTAACCCATCCTGTAGGAATCCTGTGCTGATCATGCACATTTTGTTCATTTATGGCTCAAACCACTTCTCTTTGAGTGCAGTTTTGCCCACTTTGGGCTCTGCCCTGCACAGTCTCAGGCAGACAAGGTGCCCAACCTGCCCATGTTCAGCAGGCCCCAGGGGGAGAGCCCCTGAACTGCCCTGGTTTTGTTAGTGGAACAGAAGGACCTGCTTTGGCTGCCACTCATCTCTGTGCTAGAGAGCTGACAGAGTGCTCTACACGTTCCTCTAAGCTGACAGAAATAGGCTTAGGAACTGCCCAGATATTGTGCTGATTCTCAGGATGGGATTTTTTTTTTTTTTTTTTTACTGAGAAAATCGGTTTAGGGTCTGATCCAGTATTTGTTCTACTCTGTGTTATTGGCCCAAAGCCTCTATTTAGTAGAACTTCCCTTCTTTGTTCAACCAGACTATTTATATAGATGGGTCTAAAGGTCTCAGGGGAAAGGAGAATCTGAACCTAATGAAGAATTTTGTATGTTGCCTCTTAGAAGAGGAGGGGAAAGGCACCTCTTGATGGAGCAAATAGCTGTTTTCAAACACTTTGAAGCTTTCTTAATCTACTCATTAATTTCACTAATACTGGATAAATCTATTAAAATAAAACCTATGGTTAGAAAGTCTAGTTAGAGTACTGAGCATGTATTTTCAATCTGGATATTGATAGATTTAAATAAAAAGGAAAGAATAAGAGAGTAAAAATGACTTGAGCTTTTTTTATTGGTCTGCAGTTAAACCCTTACACAGAAAAGTCAGAGACAGAAATAACTGGTGTCAAGTTTCAGCTAATGCTGAAAGACCCCAGGTGAGACCATGGCCCTTTACACCAGGTATGGCCAAGCAACAACCAGCCTGTGTTGTAGAAAGCAGCAACCAGAAACTTGAATTGGCTTTTTTTTAAATGAGGTTTGAAGACCAACCTCCAAACCAACTGAGGGGACTTCCTTCCAAACCAGCATATCAGTTGGAATTACTACACCGTTAAGTAGAGAAACAACCTTCCAGAAATGGAAAACTATCAAAAAGTACAAGTACAGGTACTTTTAATAAGGCCTAGCATGTTGTAGGAAAAATGAGAAGCAAGGTAAAGAAAGCAAGAGGAAGAAAGAACTGCCTGGCCAGGTCCTCAACAATGTAACCAAAAATTTCTGTTTCTGGTAGTTAGGTAAGAGAAATAATGCAGATCACCTACCTGTTTTTAAAGTCTTGTTTACCAGGCTGTCTACTGGAAAAACTTCCTTTTTTATCATAATCTGAGCAAAGGTGGTATGGAAGAGTGAGAGGCTCTGTGGGGTTCCATTTTTTGGGATGTAGCTGCATTTAACATCACAAAGCTAAAAAATACCAGTTAACATGTCTGAGATGCCATTTTAGATTATTTAGATTATTTTCCCTGCAACCATTATGGCTCTTTAGGAAATGTTTTAATTTAATTCTTAATTCAGTAAGAATAAGAAGCCTTTACTTTACCTGTTAGTGAGCTCTTTGGGACTCTACAAAGTGTAAATATTGCCATTATGAAAAATAATACTTGTGTTGGAGCTACAAATACAGACAGCAAAAATAATGACCTTTTCTTGCACTGTAAACCTTCTGCATCTGTTATCCTCTGAGTATTCCTAAGTGCATTATATCCTGGTAAATCTCCCATGTGCAGGCAGCCAGATGTCTTACACACTGCCAGCAACCTGCAGTAAGTCTTCCCAGAGGCCTTAAATGAAGTCAAAATAACACATGGGCTTTAGTTTCTTCCTCTCTGCAGGGAAATCTGCCTTTTAAGCAAGGCATTTGGAGGAGGAATACTCTGACATACAGAGCCCTTGTGCTGCAATAAGACAGGAGTGTTTTCTAATGAGGGTATCCCACATAGTGGGAATTTTCATGTATGAAATGCCACAGTGATGCAGATGCATTGACTGATCCTTTTATCTGAGCCAGCTTATCTGCCCAATGTGCTAAAGAGATAGGTCTCTCTGTCTCCAGCCAAGTGATATATATTCAAATTTGGTACAGTTTTGTCTCTTAAAGGAGGATTAGTTCAGCGATTCTGTCACAGCTTTGGTCAAAGGCTGATGAAACCATTCCATTTTGTGGGCCTCTTAATTCACATCTCAGATTCCACATCTGCATAAGCCAGGCTTTTGGGAAGGTGCTGCCTCACACATTCAGTTCTTTGTGGAACAGATTGCCACCATAGCCTGGGGGAAATCAGTGTAACCTATGTAGAGTGTTGGGATATCAACTTCTCAAACTGTGGGGCAAAGTGCTCCTTGGTAGAAATGCGGAAAAGTGATCTCAGGGAAGCAGTTTAACCTAGGTAGTGCTAATCAAACCAGCTCCTGAGCTAAGTTCAGTTACAGACACCTGTGCCTGCAGCTGTGCACAAAATCCAGCCCAGGATCAGCACTTCCACCACAATCACACCAACCAGCAGTAGGATGCTAATCTTACTTTAAACTAGCATGCCTTTGCTGCCCTTAGTGGAGTAGCCATCATGTCACCATCATTCCCATTTAGGCAGAGTGGCACAAAGTACCTCTTGGAGTGCTGCTCCAGTCTCAGCAGCTCATAAGAGAAAAATCTGAAGAAGGACATTGCAAGGTTATTAGAATTCTGATAACTAAAATGAGGCTTATATAGATACTAATGACCTAAAGCTAAAATCTGCCTCCAGCTCCTCTCTTCCCCTCTCTTCCCTACGCTTCACTGAGCAGGCTACTCAGTGAATCTACTCTTGGAGATTATATGTCTGTCTGCTCTCCAGAGCAGGGATCACCAGAGATCATCTGTCTGACCTCACATGCCACCTGCAGCTCAGCATTCTGTGCATGCCAAGGGCCACTCTTTCAGGCAACTTTCAAGGGGGTAACAGCTTCTGCCTCATACACAGATCCAAAAGAGCTCCAGAGGAATGGCTTGAACTGGCATTACTGCTCAAGAATGACTAAAACCTCAAGATATCATAATTTTAAACTCAAGATGAAATAAGCACCAATGGTCAGAACCATTTCCACCCCTGGTGGCAGCCAGTGTCTTTCTCATTCTGGCCTACTGAGTTAGCATACTGCAGAGCACCCCCCTCCAAATACTACCTTTTTGTCCGTGAGATTTTAGAAGCTTTGTTTCTTTGCAGAGAAAATAACATGTAATGACTACATGATCTTATCTCTTGGAAGTATTTTTGTTACAGCAGTAGTTGTATTACCTAAGCAGTAATAATTACTAGATCCAGCAGTGTAGGATCAGTCAAAAGTTTGCTTTCCATCTGATAAAAATCTCAGTCCTCTCCCTGTAATTCTAAAAGGGCAAGTGACAGTTAAATGTAACACTTTCTTTCCATTCTTAAATCTTCCTTCATGTTTCTGCCCCCCACCTCCCCACCAGGCTGCATTGTTGACTGTCTATAATGAAAGGATGATCTGTCCAATTTGCACATTTAATGGTCATAATGAGAGATTTTAGACTCTTGAGACTAATGACTGTGAGAAATTTTGATCAGCCTCACAAGCTACACATGTAGCACAGATTCAGAATTTCATTTCCTTATAATACTTCATATAAGGCACTGCACCCTAATTCTTACCTAACACACTTTTAAAGGCAATAAATTTCTGTAATGTCTTTTGTACCATAACACTTTTTTGTGTGTCACTTTCATCTTTCTCTCACATTGGCTTTACCTGCCTTCCTTTACCTATTTAAATTGCAGGCTTTTTGGGTAAAGGGATAAACTATAACCAGCTGAAGTGCAGAGCACATGCAGATGTTGAGGAAGGATCACACTCCTCAGTAGGTTTCTCCAGACTGTGCTGCTGGCATGGATCAAACAGTTGGGCTCAACCTCTTCTCACAGTTTGCAATAACAGTGGACTGAATTCTGATGTCTAATATTTTCTAGCAGGACTCAAAATGTTACAACAGACCAGGAAAAAATGTTACTTCAACAACTCAGAGAAATTACTAGAGTTATGAAAGAAGGAAAATTCATAGATGACATCTCTCCTGAGAAGGAAGCTGAGGAAGCTCCATACATGGCAGATTGGGAAGGTAAGTGAGAGCCTTTCTTACTATAACCCTTACCAGAAAAATTGGATAAAAGTTAGTCACAGTTCCAGATCCTTTCCAAGTTTTGGTTAACTTTATGCTTCCTTTTCCAGAAGCCAGTGTTCAAAACTTTGCAAGAGATTGTTTGGATTTTTTGTCCCCAAACCATAACAGAAAAAATAGATTTTGAGGTATCCAACATTTCTTTTCGTGTAAACACTGCACTATCTGCTGCCCAAAGTGGCATATGAATATTCACATATGCTCCAAATGCATTGGCTGCTCTGGGTTTATATCTTTCCCTTTCTGTGCTGGGCTGGATTTCATGACAATCATAAAACCCTTGGAAATCAGATCTGTATGTTTCAGATAACTTACAGGTTTTTTTTTCTTTTGATTAGTTGCTCTTTGTTAGCTCCAATGTTGTAAAAGTCAACTCCAGGGAGTCTTCTAAAAACTATTTATTTTAATGTCCTTTCTATTCCTTGGTGTTTACCTGCTACATAAATGTGTTTTCAAGATATCTTGAAATATCTAGTTGAGCTGTTCTTATCATAATTTTAAATGCAGGCTTAATTTCTTGCTTTTTAAAAAGCTTTCAAAAAAAATCCAAAACATAAAGCATAAACAGTGGCCTTGAGCTCTGTTCATAAAGTCAAGTTTATTATGTTATTTCTAAAATGAAATGCACAAAGTCATTGATATATCTGTTTTTTCAACTTTATCAGTAATGCTGTTCATAGCAAGGGTTCAAACCATGCATCAGTCAATCTGTAGGCAGAAAAAAAAGAAGGATCCATTCTAAGATCTAAGACAGGCCATTTTTACCCATTAGCCCCCATAGCTTCCACCAAAGCTGAGGTTTCAGTCCTGAAAGCCAGGGTTGATATCCTGGCTCCCTAAAGTAAGTGAATTGTTTTTCATCACCTCCCAAGAAGACATGCTTTGCACATTCCTGCCATGGATTTCATACTGTGATGTGTACATGGCATTAAAGAGCTAACACTTGCATTGGCAGTAGGAAAAACAACTGTCCTGGCAAACTTTGCATCTACCACTGAGATCAGAATTCCTTTTAAATGTTGGTAATACTCCAAGCTGCATATCCCTTTATTCCTAAGGTTATCCAGAAGAGACCTATCCTGTCTACGATAATTCCGATTGCTTCAAGCGCAAGCAGGACACAATCCTTGTGGATTACCCTGATCTGAGCCAGCCCTCTCCAGAAGAGCTGGCAGAAAGAATGGAGGGCATGGAAGATGAGGAGTATCCTTATGACGAAACCCTGCTGAGTGATCTCACCATGGGAATGGGTGCTCAGGATTTCATGCAGAAAAAGGATGATGTAACTCTTGTCAAGGAGGAGAAGAGTGACCTTCCTCCCAGCCAGAGCACTGGGGAGTGCTGCTGTTGCTGTGATGATGATCCTGCTGTCATAGCAGAGAATGCTGGATTCCACTCTGAGAGCTGCAGTGAAGCAGAAGAGACAAGCCAAGAGGACCTGTCCGTGGAGTCAGAAAATGAAAATGCTGCACTGGAAAAGCAAAAAGCCAGTGATGCAGAGCAGACAGGCACGCTGAGAAAGCGCAACACCAAAGTACTTGATTGATAGGGACAACCATCTGGATGGTAAAGGTAGAGGTCATAAACTGTCATCCTCGTGGGTTCTGCTCCCACTGAGGACTTCTCTGTGTTCATCTCCTTGTACCTATTGCATTCTCATGGTACCAGTCACATCATCTGCCTGAAGTGGGAGCCAATGCCCTCTTTCATGCATTCATCATGGGTTACCATGATGCTGCCAGCAGTGCTTTGTCCTTGATTTTTGAAGCCTTGTATTTTGGAGCAGATATTGTGACTTGCTCCTTTTCAATTCTGAAGGAGCTGTCCTTGGTTTTGCCCTTTGTCATCCCAGAGTTATCCAAATGTCTCTTCTGACTTTTTCAAAACTATCTGTGTGCTACCAGTTAGGAGAGTTAATCAAATCCTTCTATATACGTGAGATTACTGGGGTGCTGAAGGACAAAATATGCCTTCTTTCTCTTAGCTCAGTGTTAACTGGTCAGCAGAGCAGATCACAGTCACACACATGACTCTCTCAACTCTGTCACTGCTCTCTACTTTTGAGAAACTGCTGTCACCACAATCCACAAAGCTCCTCTGCTACCCCACAGCCCCTTTCCCAGTCATTCCGTGTTGTTGGAACGGTAGCCTAATTTATGTTGTGTTACTTGTGTGAGAAGACTGAAGCTCTGTGAGTTGTGTTTTAACTTTGCCTTAGCTGTGGTGAAATTCCCAGATGATTGCAGGAAGTGGACTACAATGTGTGAGAGCACTAAAAGTATCCCTAGAGATTAAAACCAAAAAAGCAGTGTAAAGGTTTGTCTGTAAAGGAGAGAACAGCATGAGGGGGACCCTCAGACTGAATGTAGCAGGTAGGCTTTTCCTTCTTTCTGGAAACTTGTGGGTTTTCTGTGCTCTTGGAATGCTGTTGCCAGGGTCATGTTGAGGCTGCTCCAAGTATGGGAGGCTGCTCCAAGAGGGTGCTGGAGCCAAGGGCTCCTGAGGAGAGGTGGCAGGCAGTTCCTGTGCCCAAGGGACAGCTTTTCTTGTACGAGCAGCATGGCAGGTGGGGTGGGCCCCAGGAAAGGTTCCCTCAGCTCTCATGACCCTCCTGCTTCTCCCATACCTGGGCACTTTTCAGGCCCACCATAACCCAACTATTGTACTGGGCCACGCTCATGGCCCAGTCACAGTGGCTGTTTGTGATGTCACCAGTCCCCTGAGGGCTCTGGCACTATGGAAGCAGGGCCCTCTGCAGCTGGCCCCCTGTCCACCCAGCTCTGAGGCCCTTGATGAACGTCTGGAAGAAAGAAAAGCCAGAGCAGCGAGGCAGCTGGCAGAGCACCTCTGTAAGGGACGGCAGCAGGGCTCCTTCCAGTGATGACTGAAGAGGAAGGCATGTGCGAGGAGGAGGCCGTGGAAGAGGAGGAAGAGGAGGAACAAAATCACCCCTCTGCCATGAGTGCTGCTGCCCTGAGTTCCCTGGTCATGGCCATGCAGAGCTTGGCTCTGTGCCCACCAGGGAACGGTGTGCAGCCCAGCGACATCGGCCTGCCAGGGAACCACCGGAGCACTGAGCTGGGCGGCCGCCCACCTCTGCGTGGGACAGCACAGAGACACGTCCGGCAGAGGCCAAAGCGGGAGTCACTGTCCCTGGGCCTGAAAAATGGCAACAAGCAACAGTGCAGGAGGAGGAGGGGAAGGAGGAGAAGGAGGAGCATCAGCCCTTGCACCATGAGAGCCATTGCCAACATGCGGGGAACGTCATGCAGTGCCTGCCTCCAGGAATTCTGGAGGCTCAAAATCCGCACCTGCCTGACTGAAAAATAAGCAAAGAAAAAAAATAAGAAAAGGATGAAAATCACGTCCTTCCTCCTTATTTGGTACTTTGGCGACAGCACTTGTGCTCCCATGACCCCTTAAGTAGGAGGTGTTTTTAGAAACTTTAGAAACTTTCCAGTTCCATGTCCCCATCCTGCTTTGCTGGTGCCACTTTACATCCTGGGATTTTTAGGCTATGACATCAGCAATTTGAGATTAGTTTTTTTAAACAAAGTTATCATAATGAAAGCATGGATCCCTAGGAATTTCTTCTTTGCAAACATGCTAGGGAATATTAGAGTCCCAGCCTCCACATGGGGCCTGTCCTACTAGCTCACCTATTCCATGTCCTCAACATAATTTGTTGATTGCATCAACAATCATTTGCTGATTGCTATGCATTATGTGAGCCCTTCCTTCTCATCCCCTACCCCACCCTTCCTGGAGCTCGTCAGGGAAAGACATGAATTAACTTGGCTTTCACCAGGCTACTGTGCTGAGGTGACAGGAGTTATTCCCAAGAGGGCCTCTGAGGTTCCTGGGGTCTGGAGGTGGGGTTGCTTCAGTCAGAGGTCAACTACAATCCCTGATGGATGAGTGAAGTCAGCCTTGCATAAAGAATATTAGCAGACCAAGCCAAGAACGTAGACAGCTGTTTCTTTGGAGAAGCAACAGATGGCAGTTCGGCCAGGAAGAAGTACTGGCATTCACATGGAGGTCCCTTCTAGTTGCTTCATAGGAAGTTCTTTTCAATGTTGGGAAATAAATTTTAAAAAAACCAAACCAATAAACCAAAAAAAAAAAAAAAATAGCAGCAAAATTTCTTTCTTCTTCTCTTTTTTGGGATTTGGTGAGTGCCTATGGATTCCTCTGTCCGCTCTTGGTCTCCACAGCCCTGGAAAGGTACTGATGTGTGGGGTACAGGCCCAGCCCAGGCCTTGGAGATGGTGAGGATTTGGGGCCCATGGCACACAAGGGCAGGCTGAGGGAGCTGCCTCATGAGGGTGGGGCGGTGGTGGAGCAGGTGCCCACTGAAAGTGTGGATGCCCCATCCTTATCAACATCCAAGGTCAGGTTGGCTGGGGCCTTGACCAGTCTGGTCTAGTGTTAGCCACACCCCAATGTCCAGTCAGGCCCTTATATCATTCCCCAGTACTTCCAGGGAAATGGTAGGAGGTGCTGCAGCCCTGCTGTGGGTACAGGCACAGCCCACTGTGAGGCTGACACCCTTTCCCTGGATTGTCACAGACTGGCGAGTGCTCCCTGTGTGTCACTGGAACTGTGACACTCTGAGGCAGACAGGAACATCCCAGGTAGGCATCCCGCTGCATCTACAGATCCACCATGGGCCTCTGGAACACTCTGCTTTAATGAAATAAATTGGATTCCCCTGGTCTGCACCAGCTTCCAGCCAGATGCTGGGTGCCAGTCAAGGCGGGGTGCCAGCCTGGGGCTACCCCCACAGCCCTGCTCACACCGGGATGGGATGGGATGTGCGGGGAGTGCCCATGGCAGTGCCACCCACCACAGCTGGGGCAACCCATGGGAAGGGCCTGTGCCCCATCCAGAGTCACCACCCAGCCCTGCTTCATGCCAACGCCAGCAGCCCAGCCCCCAGCGCGTCTGTATCCCTGAATTATGGGTCTGGCCCACCAGCTGCAGCTGTTCCAAACGTACCAGTAATCCACGTCATCAGGGAATCCAGCAGGTAGACATCACCACGGGAAAGTGGCTTTGTGTTGATCAGGAGCTCCTCGTGATGGCCATCATTCTCCTGATGGGAATTGCCCAATCCTCTTGGCACAGCCTTATTGTGTGCTCCTGGAATCATTATCCTGTACCAGACATTTTCTCCCAGGTTTGCAAAACCTCAGCGAAGGGGGTCCCCTTTTCAAAGCCAAGTTTATTTCCCATTGTTTCAAGCACTAAGAAGTTTTCCTCTTTTACACGAAAAAAAAAAAAAAAAAGGAGCTGAACTCCCCTTTTACATGTGCCTTGCAAGGGCTCTAATCCCTTACACTTTAGGAGTTGTTAGGGCTACTTTTAACACCTGTGACAGAGCTAAAGGCTTCCTGGTTCTTTGCAGCAAGGTGTCAGAGAGCCTCAGGAGCTCATCCCTGAGGCGTCAATGGCCTTGGCAGCCCCTCCCCAGGGACCTGTAAGTGCTCTCTGAACGTGGCCAGACTTGCCTCCTGTAGCAGCTCACCAGCAGCCTTCCAACTGGGATTCCTCCTGTTTGAGTAATATTTCCTTTTCACCCTTTGCCTCAGCTTTCCCCCCTCTAAAACAGAAATGTCTGTTTAGAGGAGCATTTTAGAAAAGGACCATCAAATGTGTGTCTCCAGCTTTCTCAACTATTAACTGCTCATTTCTACTAGAGAACACTCATAATTTGAAGGAGAGCTTAGCTGAACAAAATCAGGATTCTCAGAGAATTTTGATGAAGTAAATAAATCAAAATCATAGGTCAGAACATCAGCAAAGCTGGGAATTTGAGGAAAAAGTCACAGAAGCTCAGGTGGATGCCCACTGGAAGCAGTCAGGCTCTTTAAAAGCACACATTCCTTTACTTGTGATAGTGTTTCCCACCTGGCAAATGAAATGGCTGTACTTTTTGTTAAAGGTAAAAGAAATAGCACATGTGCTGTTAAAAGGAAATATTATGATAAAACTAGATTTAAAAACCCATAAATGGGCTTAGTTGTCCCTGCATATCTGAGAATGGTTACAGATTGTTGCAGGCATTCCATGGGATCAGGAAAAAAGCAAAAAGTAAGATCACTGCTGGCCTTAAAAATACTCTAATGAGAATTAGTTATCCAACAATATTTGGAAAACAGATAAATATCTTGACCTAACTCTTTGCATTAGCAACTAGTGTCCATATCTTGGATTTTTAATTTTCCAGCTAAGAATAAGAAAACTATGCCTACCTTTGAGAACACAGAACAAGCTAGTGCAATAATCTTCTATTTAAATAATATTTACTTGTACATTCTAAAAAAAATAATAAAATTCTATGTTTCTAACCTCATGTATCTCAAGCACTGGGGAAGAAAAAACCAGGTAAGAGCTAGAAAATCATCTATATATCAATGGTTTTATACTGACCATGTATTTCAAAGCAAATGAATGCAACACCAGATCACACAGACGGAGCATCCCAAACACAGCTGGAAAGGTTGGTCTGGTCAAGTGATTTTTCTCAGCTTTGGAACTTCATCAGTTTTTTTG